CGGGACAGAGTCTTAGAGGAGATCTACAAAATAACCTCTGAGGACAGCAGAGGTCCACTGGAGAACCTGTACAGGCTCAAATTTCCAAACTGCGACAGACATGGATTGTACAACCTCAAACAGGTGAGCCATGGACAAACCTGTGGTCACACCACACAGTTTTACCTAACTATATGTTCTGATGACAAATCAAAATGCAGAATATGTTAGAGTGCACTGGTCTCTGTTCATGAGTTGCATGGAGCATGGAGTCCATTGCAGGGCACCACAGAGGAAGAGTCTGCTTTCCAGAGACATCTTGACACTCCACAGCACTAATGGGAAAATGTTTTAATTTACTAATGAAACAAAGATAGAATTGTTCATTCATTTTCATTTTTTCTACCGCTTAGTCCCTGAATGGGGTTACGGGGGGGGGCAGAACCAATCCCGGCCGGAAATCGGGTGAAGGCGGGGTACACCCTGGACAGGTCGCCAATCCATCGCAGGGCTAACACATAGACGAACAACCACACACACGCACTCCTATGGGCAATTTAGAGACACCAATCAACCTAAGCTGCATGTCTTTGGGCTGTGAGAGGAAGCCGGAGTACCCGGAGAGAACCCACACAAGCACTGGGAGAACATGCAAACTCCACACAGAAAGGTCCCAGGTGGGGCCCGAACCCGGAACCTTCTTTGGCTTCTCGCTGTGAGGCAACGGCGCTAACCACTGTGCCACCGTGATGCCCAAGATAGAATTGTTTGGGGAAAAAACTTACAGCACTAAGAACTGTATGGTGAAAAACAGCATCATAAAACATGATTCAAAAGGTGAAGTCCAGCGGAGGGAGATTCATAATTTGGTGCCGTTTCCTTCCCCTGGGCCTGCACAGCTTGTCATCGTTGACGGAAAATGACGTATGCTACAGGATAATGTAGCTGAAGCAGTTCTCTGAGGACAAAAGACCCACACTTCCCCATGAACCATGTGTAGGCCTGATCCCCAGCTACAGGAAGTGCTTGTCTGACGTTATTTCCGCAAAAGGAGGTTTGACCAGTTTCCAGCAGCACTGGGAATGTTTAATGGGTGTGTTACACACATAGTGCTTAATTATACTTATGACTTAGTTGAAGATCAGTTTACATGTAATCACCAATTAATGCAGACAAACAGGTCATTCCAAAGCATTAACATACTTTTCAGGCCACGGTGCACCACTGTTTGTGTTTGTCCTCCATCTTGATTACAAGCACATTGTCCAGACATGCATCATTCATACCAACGGAACTTCCCCAAGTTTCCAGAGATATCAAAATACAGTATGTCAGGCATATTCTAGAAAGGTGTCTACAAAGTGATTTACATCTAAAACATTGTTTCAGTAATAAAGTGAGGGTGTGGCACCTGATACAGCATTTAGTGCCACTGGAAAATGCACAGTACACACGTTTATTCAAATTCTATTATTCAAGTCAGATGATGCATAATTCATATCACATTTCCTGTAAACTCATTTGTCATGTTTTAAAAGTAGGATTAACAATGAATCACAGGAGAAAAAGGCTGCTCTCTGTGGATGGAAACTTTCAAAAATGTCACAATACTGGCCACACCGCAATCAGTGATGTCACAGCAGGTGCTTTGTCTTTGACAGCGGACGAAAAGCACCTGCTGTGACATCACTCATTTCCTTTAAGCCTGGGTTGAGACATGTTTAAAGGTTTTAGCCCATAGAGAAAGGTTAAGCAGCAGTTTCCTGCTGCGTGGGATTCACTGGTGACTTACTGTTTCATCATGAACTCCACAAGAGCACAGAAAGACGTGAATGGCTGCAGGTGTTTTCTGGTTTCAAGTTGTTCTGATAGCTTTAAGTACAGTAGTATTATGTTGACCACTGACTGTACTGAATGGAAAGGCTTCCACTGTGATCAGTATCATTGAAGATATTGTCACATGTAAAGCATTTCAGTTTCCAGCTTCATCATTAATTTGCTTTTCACCTTTCTCTCCAAGTTCCTCTCTTACACACACATCATTTTGTGTAGTTCTGCTTTGGATTTCTCTGTATTCTTTCATAGTCTGAGTCACACACATACACACACATGCACTCTCGCCTACACACAAATTCTCTTGTGTAGTGTGGCAAAATCACCCTGGCATAAATAAATAATAGTCCCCTCCCTCCAACCTACCACCACTCACCACACAACTACTCCCGCTCACATTTTGGCCATAAACTTACACACACCCTCCTCCACTTCCTCCCAAGCAGTCTGCTCTTAGACACACAAACAAATACAAATGTTGTCATAGATGCTGTCTTCATGAATGAGGCAAAAAGCTTCTGAGCTCAAGGTTACAAGGCAATAAAACTGTTTGGCGTACTTCATGGGAAGACTTTTGTTGAGCTGAGGAACAAACTGTGCTTCCGACCGGGGGCTTGAATTTGAATTGTGCTCGTCCATAGAAATCAGACAGAGGACAAACAAGGTCACATATCCAGTGTTTTCTTACAAGGATAGTAGAGCAGAAAAGAAGATTTGAATAGGCGCCACTGTTTCCTAAAGCAGGGCTCTCAACCACTCAGCCAGTTTTCATCAGTGGTCACAAACAACAGCATTGTTTTGGACCGGAGTCCTCAGTTCCCAGGGAGGAACACTGTACCTCCTCAACACTCGGCTCCCTTTTGGACCTGTCCCTCCTTGTCGTGTGATAATTACTGTAACTGTCACTTTTTTGTTCTTTTTCATCGAAGGAAGAAAATGGAAAGTCTTTTCTTTCCCCCCAGCACCTCATTCTTTTTGCCATCCCCAACTCGGCCACCCCGCGTGCACGGCGTAAACTGTGTCCACTTCAATTACGACCTCATTTCTGATGAGGGGGGTGGGGGGTGTTCTACTGGCATGCTTTTGTGTGTGTGCGTGTATGTGCTTGCATGTGTTGTTGTGGACAGGGAGGTATGGCCTGAGGATGGGTTGTTATTGGGTGAGTGCTGTCCCACCCAAGCCATAGCCCTCAGTCTCATCCAATGGTGCACAGCCACCAGTAGATTCATAGGTACACACACACACACACACACATACATCTCGTGAAACCATACGCCATGCTCCAATAACATACCCCCTGCTTCCCACTGCGCATGCTTACCCCTCCTTCTTTTTTCCAATGTTTTCCAACTTGTCTAGTTTGTGTTTTTCTTCCCTCTTTCCAGTGCAACGTGTCCTCCCATGGCCAGCGGGGTGAGTGCTGGTGTGTTGACCCCTTAACTGGGATCCAGAAACCAGAGACGCCTAAAGTCAGAGGGGATCCCAACTGTGACCAGTTTCAGGAGGAGCACAGAGAGATGCCGACTGTGGCAACGTATTACTAGCACAGTGCAGCATACATCATGACAGAATTGAGATTTCCTCAACTCCGAATCTGGGAAGATTTTAGTAAACTTATGTCAACATGTCAAGTAGATGCTATATTTGAAGATTTGGCAGGCATTCAGACTGTATGTGTTGAAACGCAACCCCAAGGCAGGGGCTGCATTGGCCAGGCGTAAGGGGCTGCAGGGGGAGTGTCACGTCATGTGACGTGATTGGGCTCATTCATGTTTCCATTCTGTTGGTTAGCCATGTTGCTAACGTACCCTACATTAGCACCAGTTTCTGTGTGTCGGCATGGATAGATAGAAACGCACAGTTTAACCTCCAATAACTAACAAAAACACAGTGTGTTGTTATGCTGCATTTTTAAGCGTGGCCCAAATTTGAGACTGAATATCAGTGAAGGCTGTTGATAACCGCTGTAACTCAGTAAGCATCTTCTTCTCAGGGGTGTTCATGTTCCGACTACTCCCCATTATGAGATCCTGCCAAAACAGCACCTTGCCAGGTGATGTCTTCTTGCAGTGCAGAAAATCTGAACCATATCCAACTTTTTCACCACACAGGTCTACGTCATTTTGCTGGTGTCAGCTACGATGAATGCAATCCACCATGGAAGTGAATGGACAAGTCAGACTTTTTTCACACCTTTGAAACTGAGTCTGAACGCAGTCTTACTCTCTTTTTTGACACTAGGTATAAGGTTGAAGTATAAACCTTTTGCATTATTTTATTTTTCAACAAGTTCCACAAAAAGACTCAAACCAATAGTGCATTCCTCCATCTTTCAGTGCTTATCAACTTACCTGCTCTGTCTGCTGATTCCTCCAGACGCAGAGCAAGATCTGCATTCATCTGGTTTTTGTTTTTAACCCCCTGACAAAAATAAGTCCAATAGTTACTCTTGTACTCTTTTGGTCTCTGCCAGCTCCTGAGAAAGAGTTCATCTCTACAAGCAACAGTTTTTATGTTATACACAGCCATTTGATCCATTGGTAATATACACATGCTGATTAGTGCAGCTTTAAGTTAAATTAAAATGAATCAGTGTTCACTGGCCGTTGAAGGCCTTGAACATTGGAAAGAACATTTGAACGTCCACATTCACACAGATCCCTACCCTATAGATACCATACCTACTAGTCCCAGTCAGGCTCTAGGCGGGGATGCCACTGAACATGTAAGCTTATACTTGAGGTAGACAAGCCTCTGTTTTTGATATGAGGGGAGAATCCTGCAGGTGATCTTTAAAATGTTTTGATATGTCAAAGATGTATATGCATAATTTACACCCTAGTTTTAGTGGCACCACATGGTGTCACCTTGTTTTCATTTGCAAGCAGATAAATAAATGTTTTATCACACACTGATTATCATACCTTATTTCATCTTGATGTATCAAGTTGGCTTCCTGTATTTTTGGCACAGAGTTATGTTTGAGTGTGGTGTGGACCCCAGTTGCAGACACAGACTAGAGGAGAGGAACCGAAAAAAGCAGTTTATTAAAACAAACAGGCTCCAGGTAGGCAGGGAGTGCAGGAGTTACCCAGGGGGGACGAGGAGACGATCAGGGAGGAACCACAAGGAGGAGACCACCAGGGAAGAATCACGAGCAAGAAACCAGAGAGGACCAGGAGGAGACGAGCAGGAGACCAGAGAGGACCAGGAGGAGGCGAGCAGGAGACCAGAGAGGACCAGGAGGAGACGAACAGGAGACCAGAGAGGACCAGGAGGAGACGAGCAGGAGAACAGAGAGGACCAGGAGAAGACGAGCAAGAGACCAGAGAGGACCAGGAGGAGACGAGCAAGAGACCAGAGAGGACCAGGAGGAGACGAGCAGGAGACCAGAGAGGACCAGGAGGAGACGAGCAGGAGACCAGAGAGGACCAGGAGGAGACGAGCAGGAGACCAGAGAGGACCAGGAGGAGACGAGCAGGTAAATGAACCAGAAAGCGCAGAGCTAAAAGACTTACGTCTGTCAGGACAGAAAAACAATAAACGGCAGAGAGTCCTGACTGACCGGGCGGAGAGTAAACCAGGCTGCAGAAACAAACAAACGGGCAGAACAGGGTCGGAACGTGGTACTCTCGGGGAACATACACACAATGAACCGCGTACTAAGGGTATGAACCAGCCAAGAGGTGGCAGAAGAACGGGGCGTATATATGTGTAACGGGACCGGGAGACAACGAGCAGCAGGTGGGTGAAATGATGGCTAATTGTGATGGAACAGCGGGGAACAGAACCAGGAGGGAATGAGTAGGAGGTGAATGACATGGTGCCTGATGACGGCGACAGAGTTGTGGGGAGAGAACAAGTAAATAGAAACTGAAATCCGGGAAGCAGAGTGACGTGAAACCGTAGCAGTTGTTGTTTATCATGTTGTTTTTCTATCAATACTAAAGAAAAATGGCAAATTCTAACAAAACAACCAGCTTAATGAGGAACTTTCTCTTAAAAAACAACCTGAAATGTAGGCTGAAAACGAACAATGTCAAAAAAAATTACAAAAATATTTTCAGTGAAGCAAGCACAAACACATGAGTCGTAGAGGTCTGAGAACAATAATTAGAGAAATCAGAGAAGGCAGGGATAAAAAGAAAGACTCTAGCTGAATCTTCATCAGATGAAGATGAGTGTTTGTGCCTTGTCAGTCTCTAACAGTTGCAAGAAATGGGCCCATGAAGATCACACTCCAGGTCAAACAGTTAATATGTGCTGCATTTCTGATGATTACTGATTAGTCAGATCGTTCTAGAATCAAGCTACGATTGATTACAGTTCTATTACGTAAAAAGACTGACAAGCCCCAGTCTCTCCTATGATGTGAGACTGTTCGCTTCTTTTTAGGCTTTAACTATAAAAAGGGTCATTAACACCATCATTCCCAAACATAGTTTTGTTTCCAAGTACTGTATGTAACCTGAATGTACAAAAACATGGAGGATATGTAGTAAACCTGTCACCACGATATTGTGGCACCATGATTTTTCAATTTAGTTGCATATTTACCAACACTGATGATGTAAATGAGCACAGCCACAGCAGTATTCAGTTGAATATACCTGCGCTTAAGGCTGTTCTCCATTGTAATGTTTTCTCACACTGAACTACAGTTAAGTACTGGTAGGAACAAATACTGTAGGTATTTTATCTATACCTGACTGATAAAATGATTAATTGATCCACAGAAAACTAACTGGCAATTTGTTAATTGATTAAAATTTAACTCATTTTCAGACAAAAATGCAAAACATTTGCTGTTAGCAGTCTTAGCGGTTGGAATCATTACAGTGTTAATCTTTCTAACTGCTGACAAAATGAGCGGTGCTGTTGTGTCATTCAGGGCTCTGGAAAATTGTGATGTTTTTTTTTTTTGTGTGTGTTTTGCAGCCAGAGTGCATTTTACAGGAAGCTTAAAGTGTGAAGTTGCAGAAAAGTCACCGCTGATATGTGATCAGAATGATTCAATTCTTGGGTGTAAAGAAAGAGCTCTTTGAAGTTCTGGCCAGAAATGTATCATATGAGACCACTCCTGACTGGGTTTGGCCTTGTAACCTTATACGTGGACAGTTTGCCAGTTAGTTGAGCACCAGTCCAAGGGTGCAATTAATCATGCTGTGCAAAACATGAACACTGCTGTTGCAGTTTTGTTCAGTTTTTGTGGTACCTTTTCCCCCTAATTTCTTTCTTGTTCTCGTTTCCAATCTCGTCTTTATTTTTCCCCTTAAAGGCTGGATTGTGACAGGAAGTTTGCTTTAAAAAACTTGGTTCAGTTACACAAATTGAAACAAGCGTCTTTTGTTTAGGGTTTGATAAATTAGGCACAATGGACTGAGGAGGGTAGTTTAGCACTGGGAATAGTAGTGGGGGTGAGTATCTATGCTTGCATGACTGTGTTTGTGTGTTTAAGTGCAAAGAGTGTGTGTGTGTGTTGGATAAAGCGCCCAAGATCCACCCTACTTTCAGGCTACTTTTTCTCTTCTATTTCTTTTGTTTTGTTGGCATGCAACAACTTCCCTTGATATGTTGATAGTATGTGTGTGTCTAAGACTCACGGAAGCTGTACTTGTTGAATGTTAACAAAATAATTGTTGTTTTATCTTTGCTAAAATGACAAGGTGGTCCAATGTCAGAAGGAAGTGCACAAATAGAGACTGTTATCTTTGGTTATGGGCAAAAATTCTTTCAGCATTGCAGAAAAACACTTGGTGCAAAGATGCACTGTACTGGAGGTATGTAGTAGAACAAAAACCAGAAGTAGTGGAAAGTTCAGCTCTATATAGTCAGAGTATAATAGTGTAGTCAATCTGGGCAGTTGAGGCTGTACTTGTATATGTGCATTGTGCAAAAGGAACAAGAACAGAGGGATCAGAAATTTCCGCAGTGTGAGATCAATAAAGTACCTACAGTTCCTACTCCTGTTGAATAAGATAACAATATTAGGCAAAGTTTCTTTTTTCATGAAATACTAACATGGTTAGAATAGTGATGTACCCACTAAAGTACAGTAATTGTTTGAATCTCAGAGTGATAAGCTCGGTGGGGGGTGGGGGTGGGGGGGTCTAACCCGGGGATTGTTTACAATCTCTCTCGCCAGTTGCTTTTCTAGTATCATCTGGATAATTTTTTGTGACACACCTGCGTTCCTATATTGCAGCAAATACTTTTATGAGTACAAATTTGAAAGTGATCACCAGACCGACAAGCTAGAAAAGTCTGCAGTGCTTGGCATCCATAAGAGAAGGATTATACATGACTGTGCCTTAAAGTGCTCCGTTTGTGGCATGTCGGATCTAAAATCTGTAGTTGTAATTTTCACAGTCACATCCGATCCACGCTGAAAAACCCGTTGTTTGGTATTTCGGGTCTAAGTCCATCGTTGGGGCTTGAAGGGCTTGGATGAAAACTAGCAGACACTTGTCTGCTGTCTTCCCCCACCATCACTGGAGAATTCCACCTCAAAGTCATGTGATTTACTCCCAGCCACTGTAAATTCTTTCAAATCTCCTTTCATCTCCATCCCAGTGATGAAAAGAACCATCATTACCTCTTTAAGAGATAGCATTATACAAAAGTACAAGCAGTGATTTGCACAAATCCCAATTATGCAGTGTAAACATCTGCATGCCATTTGTAAGCTTATGTCTCTAAATGATCCATCATCATAAGTCACATTTCATGATGGGAACAAGGGCAAATCAATACAAGTGAATAACTTTGTAAAGCTATCGCTTATGATTTTACAACATACATGCAGACTTGAAGAGAACCTGACCCCTCTGCACAACTTTATAGTCTGAACATCACAGAAATACGCTGCACAGCAATGTCCCTGGGTTTGAGTGCAGGGCATGAGATGATGTTAGATGAAGCCATCCAATGCTGGAGGTCTAATTATGTAATAAAAGAGGCATAAATGCTTTGAAGTCCTAAGTGCAGTTGCCAGTTTCTTTGAAGGCAGATAATAATTGTCATGTTCAGGGCCTCAGCATTCAAGACTACTACACATTTCTTCCTTCCCAAAGTCTGTACTGTCCTTGCCATGTGCATGCAAGACACACACATGCACATACAAAGACATAGTGCAGAAACATTTATGGGCCTTGATCTGCCATACAGGAACTGCTGGGGACCTCCACCCTTTCATGTCTTAATCCTGTCACCCAAATCTGGAGTTGGTCAAAGTCCAGAGGTCCCCAGGCAAACATTTTGTGCCCCCCCCCCCCAGACACCCCACTGTGAAGATGCATCCACAGATACTTTTATCTATCTGTACAGAAACTGAGAGCAACTACTAGCAAATCAAAAGCCTGTATCACTGAATTTCAGCCATTTTAACCAGGTGATCCCATTGAGCCTTATGTTTTGTACTGAGACACATATACAAAAGATTTAGATCATCTCCATTTTTCTAATTGTTGTTAGTGTGATTCAGCAGCTGAACACACTGGTGACATTCTTCCTATAATTAAAATCCAGTATTGTTCAGCTAGACAGCACTGTTGCAGGAGTTCCTACAGATGTGTTGCACTTACAGATTTCTTTGCTTTTACCTTCACCTGCACAGTCTGGACACTGTGCTGCCACTCCATCATTTGAAGCCGACCATCTTGTTCTTTTCTGGACACATCCAGGAGGTGTTTTATGGCTCATTATCCTGCTTTTGTACAGATTTGTTGCTTTGTTGCTAAGTAGTTAGCAAACATTGGATTCCTTTAGGAACTGTTTGCATCAGGTTTAAAGGCTTCATTTACTTCCACTTCTGCAGAAAAGATGGAATTTAATTGGTAATAAAGGTAGATTTTCTATAACATGGCGATGCCTCCTCCATCTTACTCCAGGCTACAAATCTCTGAGTTGGTTCAAAATCATGTTAAAGAATTTCCTTGTTCCTGCACAATATTTTTATTGAAAAGCAGGTGACTTGCCCTCGGGCGAGGCTTTATTAAGTCAGATCCTACAAGCTACATGAGATCCTGTAGGCTACCCTGAGTGTCTCAGGCTTATGTCTAAGAGGTTTATCAGCTCGTGCCTCGAAGATTAGTCAGTATTTACTATCAGCATGATTCCATTTCAGACAATTTAGTGGCTACTCACCCTTCGTAAAATTACAACACTAGAAATGAAAACCTCACGAGGATGCTTAAATGAATACATAACTTTATTTAAATAAATGCTTTGTCATAACAAAAAAAAAGACAAAGGTTAAAAGAGTACATAAATTACAAGTTGAATAAATATTACACAGTGATATTCACTTTAATAATTTGAGATTTTTTTGTCATTTTTTTTCTTATTGGTTTTATGTAGTTCCAAATACTGACCATTTTTCCCCACTATCCTCCTGCCACCAATGGGTCTCTTTCACAAGCCAGTGAACACCAAATTATGAAAACCTAATTGTGTTGTCTCATTACAGCCAAAAAGTGTATGTATTCAGAAAAAGCTGCACGGTAATTACTGTACTACTGGAAGGTGAAGTCTGAATATGAGTTTAAACCAAATAGTAGGAGATGAGAAACCTGAGGAAGGCACTGCTTGCAAACAGGAGTGGGAAACAGAGAGCCAGAGAGCTTTTAAACAATCCTGAATTTCAATCCAAATCAAAAAAGCAAACGCCTGGAAAATTTAAGCACTCATATTTTTGCTTTATCTGGACATTAAATGGTCAGATATGTCACTGATTTTCATCTCAACAGGTGGAACTTGGCATTATACTCCTGGTTGCAGCATTGCATTTCCCAGATTTCCATGACTCCTGATAACTGTCTTTCTAACTGTATCTAATGTTATGCAGTTGGTGACCCCATATTGGGGAAGTGACTAGGCTCTGATTACGACCACTGCCCATGGCGCTCGCTCTTCCTCTTCCCTCATTTCCCTCTCTTTATCTCAACTCTCATCTCTGTGCAATAGGCCATGAGAATCTGTAGCTGTGTATTGCTTTTAATCTATTTTTTCCTAAAAGATGTTACTGTAGGTCCCAGGCATGGGCTGTACAGCCCCTGTCAACAAATATTACCTCAGAGTGCCACCTTTACAAGGTAAGCACACGATAACACAACATTTAGCTTTAGTGGCTGCTTTTTTGTCCCACTAACTTCAAGATATCACATCTTAGGATGATGTTGTGTGTCTATCAATAGTGAGTAACTGAAATAAGTGCAAGCTGCTTTTATTTTTCAAAAGTGGTAGTGGGGGTTTGGTGTTAGAAAAGGGGCAAGGATAATATATTCACAACTGGAAGCCATTTAGGATGCACATATCATTTCTCTTCTGTTGCATCAAAAGAATTGGTTGATTTACCTCCGAGCATCCTTTAGTTTCCCCTCTCTGGCAATCATATACATTGGCATTCACATGAAAAAGCAAGAATCTTAGCTTATTGATTGTCAAAGAAAGAGTGGAGGGAGGCTTAAATGACTGTAGTTACACACCAGTTCCTCACACATCTTAACAAAGTTGCCACAAGGTACAGGCGGAGAATACAAATGGATTTGCAATGCATTGCTGACAGCATTTACAGGACACATTCATTATTCTTCTCTTAATCAGAACTGAACCTGGACTTCTTTTCTGTCATATCAAGTACCAGCCCTGGGGCGGATTTCGTATGATATCCACGTCGCTTTCATGTCACTGTTTAAGCATGTAGGAAGGCACTGTGACTCACACACAGAGAGAGAACAACTCCACTTAAATGACTGAGTTACAGTATAACCTGTAACCATTTTGTTTTCATCGCATGTCCCTTGGATGTAGGTAGATAACCTTTGCAGGGCGGCATGTAAGCAGAAGGGTTTCAGAGGGTTAGCTTCTTTGACTGCCCTGTAGTCAGATGACTATGGGTCATTCTCCTGACAGGCTACAAGCACCTATTCAAATTCTTTACAGCCTAACCTTTTTGTCAAGCACAATTACATTGTTGTCACACTACAGGAAAAACAATATTCAATAACTATATTTAAACGTAATGTAATACATCATGGTTACACTGTAGTAGCAGTACTGAGGGGAAACCACTTGAAAAAAGGAACATGGCTCAAAAGTGGGCAGTCTTTACTTCACTGAAGGCAAAGGAAAACAGCACAAACAAAACCATACAAAGCTACACTTCACACAACTGAATCAGAGAAGCAACTGGCCTGACTGGCAAGTTTGATTATGTACTCAGCTCAAAAATCAAACTTGAGTCCCATCACTTAAGCTGAAAACCAGCAGAGTCAGCGCTCTCTGAGCTCTGTGTCGCCCTGCATGGCAGTGTCTGTTCAAATAGGCACAGTTGGCATATCAGGTTAGCTACATAGTTGAAAAGCCACTCACACAGGGTCATCTGTGACGATCTGCTCACCCTTTTGTTGCCAAACGCCCTGTGACCCGAGACACTTTACATTAAAGAGAAGGCCAACCTCAAATCCACTTCAAGCTATAGCGATACTTGTGACTAGATCAAACAAAAGAGAGAGGAAAAAGGACATTCTTTTTTGAAACACACTCACTCCATCATGCACCAGCTTAGGCTGATACGTACCATGCACTCTCGCTGTACACATACATACACACATTCATGCATGCATCATCATTTTGTGAAGTTACATATATCTAAGCAGGTTCCCTTATCATACTGTAAGTGCTCTGACAGAACCACATACCCAGACAAAGTCAACTGTTACAGCAGATCCCTAGCTGTTGTTTCTTTCTCTTTTTTCTTTCTTTCTTTAGGGTAACAGACAAAAAAAATTAATCAACAGCCAATCATCATTTCTGCAGCGGCATCATGTTCCACAGCCTAAAACTGATTTAGTTTTATTCAGTGTGCCTGATGCTTTGTTTTTCTTCAAAATGACTTCGTGTTAAATTTACATCATACAAAGCTTTGCATTGAAAACCCCAGCTTCTAGAAAAATATATCCATTGTGTGCATATATTTTCATGGAACTGCAACCAGGGGACCCAGTTTATACAAGGGGTTCCATGAGCAATAGTCAAGGGATCTAGTAGATCTTATAGGACTTTTTCCCCTCATTTGAAAATGAGTGCTTGGTCAACAACAACAAAAAAAGAAAGAAAGAAAAGAATTGTAAGTGTCTTTTTTCAGCCTGTTCTCTTGCTTCAATTTGAAAAACCAAAACTCTTGAAGTGAATGGAGGGCGGAGCATACAGGTGTGATTCAGAGAAGAGACGTGGGCCCTGGGTCACATGGTGGTTGGTTGGTGGGGACGGGGTGGGGGGTCGAAGGTGGTCCTCTCCTTTTCACTCGTTGTTGCTGCTCTCCAGGTCTTTACACTGAATGTCTCCTCCACTGTAGTCTGTGCCAGGGAGCTGAACGCCATACTTATCCACACACCAGCAGATGCCTCGTTTGCGGCCACGAGATGGCTTACACTGTGGGCCGTAAAACAGGATAAGGGCTGGTTGTTCAACTGTTGTAGCTGACATGCTAACGCCAACATGCTCAGAAACAGGCTAGGGCTAGTCAGTCGCAATCATGAGTTGCTAACAGGTCAATAAGTTCACACAGATTTTTTCAGAAGACATGTTTGTGATTCCTGTTACTGTCTGCAAACCTTTCCTTTTGTTGCAGTTTATACTGCAACAACAAAAAGTAAAATAAAAGTAAATAGAGTGGCACCCTGCATCATTTTGCACTCTTGTGCTGTGCATTCACTCTAAGTCAGCACTGTCAACACAGCTTGCTATAGGTTAATACCTGCTGCAAATTGGAAGGTCTAACAATTTAATCCAAATTTCAAGAGCAAAGACTTTTGTGAAGTAAACTCACCTGCTTGCGCTTGAAGAATCCTTTTCTGTCACAGTTGGGCAGATACAAAGACAGAGCCATTACACGAGAAGTGTCCTTCATCCCTTGAACAATCCCATCCAGTTTCCTCCTGCATGGTCCCTTTGGAGAACGACAACACAGGGTTACAATCAAGCAACACAGTCATTAGACATGTAACAGTAGGAAGTGGTTCCAAGTGAGCAGCTGTGATTGCTGTCTGCAACAGTGTCTTTTATTACTACTAGGAGTCAGAAATGTTTCAGTTCCACACACTGGCTCTGATACAGGATCAAACCAAGATTGAATACTTACATATTCAGGCTCATGTTTGTCGATGGGCAGAGGGGAGTAGTCCATTGGAGGGACCATGATGGAGCTCATAGAGCGCTGTCTGCCCAGCTTCTTCTTTTGCTCCTTGCGCAGTGCTTGAACTTTTTTACTGCTCACAATATCTTTATGATGGAGTGGCACTTTAGCTGGCTGCAGCTCTTCCGCAATCTCTGTGGTCATGGTGTCCTCATGTTCTTGGGAGTCATGATCTGCACCAGAACAAATGCAGGATGGTCAACAGTCTGACTGTTTTAAAGGTGAAAGATGGTATATATATATAAGTAGTATCTAAGTATTTAAGTAGTATTCTGTGGTATACGACATATGGCAGAACAGTCAAGGATGCAAGGATGGTGAGAGTGACAACATTTTCACATTCCTTGACCCACTGTTAATACAATAATCCTGACTGTCAGCCATTAGAGACCCAAAATCAAGCATTTAGACAAACCAATAAAAATAACTGAAAACACATGGAAAAAAATCACAGTAAAAATTCTGTGTTCAGTATTAATATTCAAATAGGTATTGTTATTGTATATGTCCATTTGCTATTGTGATGTTCCACAGCTTATTGGTCCTTTCAAAGTAAAACAATAACAGGCACTCTTCCTGGGGCCTTTGCCACCAAATGTTGCTTAAAATTAGTTTACAGAGGAGAGGAGGCTGAAGTTAAGATCAACAGCTGATAAACTCGTACAGCTACATTAAAAGTGTAGTTTAACATGTCTTTTCTCACCCAACACCACTTTAAATCCCCCAAATTTCAGTTATTTCATTTTTTTTCAGTTATAGAGAAGTAATATGCAAACGTGCATTCACAGAAGACAAAATCATCTGATCTGACACCACATATTTTGATATTTGTCCAGCAATCTGCAGAGATTTCCTTCAGTGTTGTTAGTATCAGTGAGACATGTTGGTGAAATTAAATCAGATACAGGGCCAAACATATTTGTGAGCATACAGACCACTCCAACTTGGGAAAACTACATCATATGTTGTATGACTGCCTACACTAGGCCTGGAAACTCTGTTAACACATTATCTGGACTGCTAAACTGCAACAAGGACTGAGGCCTCTGAGTGCTGTAACTTTATAGGCACATGTCCCACAAACTGACTGAAATGTCAAGCTAAGAAAAACCCTGTCGCTCTGTAGACTAGTAGGAAATGTTTGCACATTTCTGCCACTTTTGATGCTGTTCTACGATGTCATTTCCGCTCCCCCCAGGGGGCACTATAACCTCAGACATCTGAAGGTCCCTCCTGGTAGATCATTCAGGTTGAAGTCCTTTATCCTTAACCGTGCCCCTCCTCAACCTCCCTCTTCTATCTTTGGGGCTCAGCCTCTTAAGCGTGGACCCCCAGCCAGAGGTTCTTTGAGGCCATAGAAAGAAGCCCTCTGCCCCCCCACTAAGCTTAGCTGTCTCATAAGTACAGAGTTATTGTGGGGACTTTGCCAGGCTCTGACTGGCTGAAGCCACGGTGCCAGTGGATGACCCCAGTTATATTTATCTGACAAGGAAACCCATCGCGGTGCACAGGGCCAGAGCCATTGAACCAGAGAGGAATGTTGGCGGTGGACTACAGGCCAACTGCTGTTGAAAAGCAAATTGGCTTTCGACTTGTATAGGGGCATGAGAGGATACACTGGAAAATATGATTTAATAAGTTGCCATAAATTCACTGACTGGCCTGTTGGTACACAGCCACGGTGTAGAAAGGCACTGAGACATAACAAAGACGAGCTCTGAGAAACTGATGTTCAAAGAGCCTGACGCAGCATGAGCGTCTGGAGTCTCTGGGAGGGGAGGGAGGTACAGGCAGGGTGATTACCAGAATTGGGTCCTTGGCTTTTGCACTGCAGTGGTGTCTCTTTGAAATTAATCTTGCAACTCATGACTTGGCAGGCCTTAGTATGTGTTTAGATATGTCCGTGTGTCTCCATGCACAGACAACGAGGTTATTACTTTCTATAAATAAATACATCAAACAAGCATTCCTATGCATAACAAGCACGTGACCATTGGGGAAACATTGACATTGTTTCTGCTGTAGAGTGTAATCATTTCTCAGGGCACTTGATTAAAATGCCACATATTTGGAAATGAACTATTCTGTCAAAAAGTCTGTTTTTTTAACACGCATTCTTGTTTCATGTGTAATCTCATTTGAGCATGTAAATGGCCAGACTGTGTCATGGCAACATCAATAATGCTCATCTCAGTGTTTGTTTTTCAAGAACACTGTTGGAAACATTGGCTAGAAAAGGTTTTTAAAGTGCCTTTTAAAATATGCATTTAGCTTCTGTAAAGACAATAGTCTCTTACTTATTTTCTCCTTCACTCACAAAATAACTAAATTAATTTCTTGTGAAGTGGGCTTTTTGGTGCAGCCACAAAAACTCAGTTTTTCCATGCTCAGGGTACCTGACTTGTAAAGGAGGCTTAGAAAGTCTGTGTTTAACTCCTGAAACTCAGCCAAGATGCTGGCCAGGAGCCAAGTGAGCCAAGTCATGTGCAGCCCTTCCATTCAGCTGAGCCCACAGCAGAGCTGCTATTTCTCTCCCTCAACTCGAGCTAAGGATTTCAATAGGATGAAAGGAGCAGAGCAGCCAGAGGAGGTGCACCTGATACTTCTCTCTTTAAAAATTAACATCTGCACACAATTATACTTCATGAATATCCCAGGTATCCTAGGGGCAGCAGCCCAGGCATGAAAAATAAGCTACCCCTTCTTTGGATTTTTCTGTCCACTGGATCTAAAAGACAATAATAATAACATTTAGATAGCCCCCAAAAAAGTCTGGACAATAGATTCTCCCACCTTTCAATGGGTTTCTCAGCAGTGCACCATGCTTTTGATTAAATCAGTCTCTGTGCCGCACCTGAAATTACATCTTTACAAGATGTAAGGGAGGAGTGAACAGAGGTTCTGTTTAATCTCAGCAGGGTGAAGGACAATTGTGGGGATAAATGAGCCAGAATGAGCCAGAGGGCCTGTGCACAACGTTAGTAACCCATCCTTCAGCCTCAGACTGCCTCAGCTACTTAATATTTGAGAGCAAGGCCATGGCCTGATAACCCTGCGGTTTCTAAAGCAGAAAGGGAGGTGTGAACAGCCCAGTGGAGCTGTGCAAATCACTGAGGATGTGTGTGCAAAGGTTAGGTCCTGATGACTAATAGAAAACAACACACATGAGATGTTCAAAACTGAGGCAAAGTTCGCACTGTAGAACTCTGGTAGAGAAGAATTTTCAGATAAACAATGTTAGTATCATTTGAATCAAGCAAGATTTGTCAAAAATAATAGCGAGGATGGCTAGTAGTGACACTGATTTGATCCAAAAGGCCAATATGTTATATTTACAAAGGATGTGGCAACATGCATAAAGCCTGGTGTGGATGATCACTGAAAAAAGCTCGCTTCCAAACCAGCACTAGTAAAATATGGACTTTATCAAATGTTCGGTCCATGATTCTGTTTGACCGAGAGTAAGAGACTTATGACTGGACTCCTATCGCCTGTTGTTTCAGTGGAATTTCAGCTCTTGCTCTTTATCAGCTACTGAAGATGTTCCCATGCTATTGTGCACAGAGAATATGTTCATTGCAATCAAAAAGTAGCAACAAGAACAATTCTAGGATAAAAAAAAAAACATAAAACATGACTTATGAGCGGATGCAAAATCTTCCCAGAAGGGAAATGCTCCTATAGGTAAGCAAACATTCTGACCTGTTTATAACTTCCACAGCATAAAACAAAACACTCAAACTGCTGCAAGCAGTCATGTGAGAAGTAGCACATGGCCGCTCTGCTGTACATTCCTAATTCTGGTCTGAGGTCTCATTTCACATCTGAATTTGGGTTTTCAACAAGCCACATGGATGGACGCAACCTCTTTCCGGCTCACCATCACCACAACACAATTGCTGGGTGTAACGGCATTCTAACGCCCCAGCGGCAGAAGCAGCTATTCTGGCGAGAGTCAAGCATGCCTGGATACTGTACAGTACAAGCAGCCTAACAAGAAACATCGCAGTGGATGAAACACTAGCTTCAAAATGAATTTGTGGTTAACACGTTTTTTGTGGTATTTATAATATTATGGTTCATGTAATATGATACGCCTTTTGTGGTATTTATAATATTATGGTTCATGTAATATGATACGCCATTTGAAGTAACTTATTTTTATGTTGAAATGCTTTTTTTTCTTGTGCATCAAAACTAAAATGTCAGCAATGACACATTTTGAGTAAAGGCATTTCATGTAGGAGGAAGCAGCTATTCAATGTAAAGGAAGTGCTTACTAGTTGGAGCAGGGAACAACAAAGGGTTCACCTGTCTCACATTCTGAGCAACACCAACATTTCAGAGAAGCCACTGGAGCCACTATTGTTTTTCAAATCCTCAGAAACCTAAGGTGACTTTTCCCCCTTCTTGTGATAGGAAATTTCAATAAAACACCCCTACAGAGACAATGCAATGACTTTTTGGTCCTTTCTTGCACCATATAACAAACAGGTCTAAACACATGTGACATCATTTTAAAACTCAGCATGCAGCCATTCCTGCCTGTTTTGGTTAAATCACAAGTGCAGAGTGTTGAAAGACTTCAGTGAGCTGTTGATTTCTTTCACAGGTGTTACCACCTGCAGGTTTGGTGTGAGTGACCAATAAGCTTCACAAATGCCACAGTAAAGTTTTATAGGGAGAAATCAGAAAAGTGTGCCAAAGGTTATTTTATTGCTTCAGACAGCTGTGATGCTGTAGATGGCTCCGACGGTCATACTGTACCTAACAATTTGTTTTGAAACACAAACAAAACCATAATCAACAGTCTCACTGTTTTATCTAAGAAAATGATACTTTTTTTCCTGAACCCATTTTTCCATGAATCGTGTGCTTTTTCTTGAAGTCTCTGTGCGATATCTTGACAAATTGACCTTCTCATTAATTCTCCCTGGCACCTGCAGCAGCTCGGTTGCAGCATGCTAAGCTTTCACTGCACTGTCTCAGATGTTCAAGGTGAGACGGATGGAAAGTCACATGCACACATGAGCCCATCATGAAGCTGTCAGGCAACAGGCACCACACGTGGCCAGAGCTGTGGCATGTCTCATGGAAGAAGCAGATATTAATTCTCAAATAGAACAGTGATTCTGTATGGCACTTGGAAATGAGAAGGCAATGGTGTGAAAAT